TTTTCAACCGCCGATTATTGCAGGCTCGAAATCTCCATAACTAGAGAACTCTGCACTTCGTGGAACATCTCATTTGATAGAGCATCAAAAGATCTATCGAATCATGTGTGCGCCGTCGGACAGGAGTAAGGTTTCACCGAGATAGGGTCTCCAGAAAACTTACATGGGTTTTTGAGAAAATAAAATATTTTTTTCGTGAAATTGGGTAAAATATATGTGGAAAAAAATTTTTTTATAAATGCTGTCGTAATAGTTCGTAAAAGATTCCTTGTATCTATCAATATTCCTTAAAGATCTCTGAAGAACTATCTTAGACCTAGGTCTACTGAATCCACGTGGGAATTCGGGAAGCATGAGAAAGAGTAACAGGAGATTATTTGACCATTACCTTATACTTATACATGTGCATGTTTCGTTTAACTGGTCTCCTTCTGTTCTGTGGTATTCTATCTCCTATTTTCTTTTTGTTCTGTTCTGTGTCTTGTTTGGCTTGTTTTAATGTATATCTTCTGTTATTGAGTAAATTTCGACGCGTATGGATATTTCGTTCTTTTTTAATTTCTTTTTGTGAATATGATATTCACTCGTCGATAATACGGTGTTGCTTAGACGTAAGCAAGAGAAACTATATACAATAATAAACACGTAAAGGTTTGAATCTATTATTTGAAATTATGTTAATGTTGCGTACTTTAGACGCTGGCATTATTCAAAAAAAGTAGCATAGGTTGTTGAGTTACATATGCCTCGAAGCAATAAGAAGTGGTGCGCTCATCCGATCTCTCACCAAGGTTCAAGAAAGTCGGGTCCGGGCGCTCTTTGTCCACGTGGAGATCGACCGATTGACAGTGATTTGGCTGCATTTATCACGCAAGAATATTATCAAGCGGATGCGATTGTTGGATTTGCTCTATCTGAAGGCGAACTTACCCATGTAAAAAGAGCCAAGACAAAACCTGATTTTAATCCATTTTTCTATGATGAAAAATCGATTTAAATGACACGATTTTCATCTGATTGTCATCAGATTTTAAATCGAAAAAAAATCAGTGAAGATCGGTTATTTTGGAGAGAATAGCTTTTAATAGACCTGCTTTTCATTATCTGATTTTAATTAATTTGTAATAAAAAATCAATTTTTTCCTAAGTGAGTGAGTATGAAACTATATCGCATCTGCCACTATCTCAAGGATGTCACAGGCTACTCCACTGTTGAGTCACTATTTGTCGATGCGAGGATTCCGAAAAAAAGGTTTAGAAGATTTTCTGAAAGTTGAATATTCGAGAAAAAACCTTTTTTTTCTTTTTGTGATTAAAATCGATGACGATTTTTGACGATTATAATTATTTTTTATGATTTCAAATAGCTGAAAGGATTTGAATCGATTTTCCAGATACTAATCAATTAAAACAAATTTTTTGCAACTCAATCAGAGAAAATCATTTTCTTTATTTAGTAAATTGCTTAGAACTGATTACCATTCGGAAAATCGGTTAAAACCAATTACTGTTGAAAAATTAATTAGAATCTATAATTTTCTGTACTTTATCTCAAGAGAATCGATTTTTCAGACAAAAATCAATTACAATCAATTTTATGGTGGTTTTTAATCGATTTTAACGGATTATTTATGAGATAATCGGCGGTAATCTATTTTTCCTCGTATCTAATCAGAATTTTGGGATATAATCTGATTTTACGGATTTTTCCGAAAAAAAATCGAATTTCATCGGATGTTTTGCCTCATTTTTTACATGGGTAAATGACTGAAAAAAATAAAGAAGTCGATCTATATCAATTTTCAGTCTTTGGCTTCGCATATTACCCAAAATAAAACATGCTATTTCTCAGAGAGCACACTATAGCTAATGATATATATTTTAATATTTACTTACAATCAAATCTATACAAAATTTCACACAAATCTCTGCATATCGATCTTAGCAAAGCGCAAACTTCGTACTTTCTTTCGCTGTCGGCTATTACACAAGGTCTTGATCAAAGCAATTATTATCCCGTGGCTTTCTTGATCTGTCACAATTTCGTTTCATGACTTTCTGATCAGTGTAATTGTTCTTTCTCATTATCGTTGTCGACCCTTTAACCCTTTGGCTCCCAACTTTTTTTTATAACGAATATCGGAATTGTTTACCAGAAGCCTTTCGAGATATCTTCATTTATTTAGGAAGATACCCTATTCATGTATAAAAAAATCCACTAGTAGCCCATCTTTGTAAGATAATCTCTGAAGCAGTCGACAATACATAAAGGAACATTACAGTAAGCGCAGAATTACCGTGTATCACCCTAATATTATGGGGTGTGCAATCGACGCGTTTTCTTTGAAACCGTTTGTATTGCAATATTTTGTGAAATAAGTTAAGAGAAATGAGAGGAAAACCTGTGCAGATAAGCAACTCCTTAAGTTAAAAGAAACAACAAAATATGTACTGTTGATCATGAAGTTATGAAGAATTTCGGTCACATCGTTAAAGACGGCGTCAGTATGAACGGTTTACTTTGTTATATGAAAATATCATAAAAAAAACTTATTCTGTATCAACGGCTAGTTGTTAATTTGAGAAGTTTTTAGAAAGAGAAAGGAGTATGCGCAAAAGGTTGTAACCGTCATCGCCGAAACGCAAATCGCCGAATATACAGATAGTCGAAAAGCACATAGACGGAATAGAAATGCTCGACAGATATACGCTACCGAAGCAAAGATCGCTGAAGGAACTTTCACATATATCACCGATGAATTGATAAACACATCGAGAATGAGTGGGCTATAGAGAATAGGTGTCGAGGGCCGGACGTGTTTAAATTCGAATCGACGAAAGACATTTTGACGATGTGTTTTACGGCGATGAGGATTCATACCGCGTAAAGCAGTGGGTCAAATTATCGAATGATTCGATCATTTAAGTGGAATAACTTGTCATTCTCTATTTGGTCAAATATTAGTGACATGATGATATCCTTTCAGTAGAGGGTTTAGCGGCTACTGAGCTGCGTTACTTGTATTTATACGGTCTCACATCCTTATACTAGTGGCTGACCATCAGCTCCTGTTGCTGAAATGAAATAAACACTTTTCGTAATGTATGTGTAAGACAGGTGTCTTATAATTTTGCCATAATCGATACCTTATGTCGTGGTTGAAGCGAACAGTGACCTCGAAATTTGTTATTCAAAAATGTGTGTAAAGTCGCAGGAGTGATCTACTTCAGAAACTCATGACAGCATCAGCGCTTTTTCTTCCACGCGGCGCCCATAAACCTTTCCAATGTTACTTTAAGGCTAAAGAAAAGGTAAGACTTACGTCCCACTGATTTTTTTGTCTACGAATCAGTGTTTTATTTAGAACATGAGGCGCGCCCAGAGCTAATAACTTCACTAATTTGGGGCGCTGCATATTATGTATTGGCTATATCAGCGTACCCTCGTAACCGTCTTTTCTCTCAAGCTGAATCATTTTTCAAGCTTTCAATAGTGATATTTTGCATTTCAGCATACCATTAAAAAAGATACCACCGTTAGGAATGAATAAACATTTCTCTTAGGGCGGTTTGATCAGAGTTAGATTGAGACCAGTTCCAAGTATTGATTGCATCTAGTAATTTTGAGTTTGGATATAAGAAGTATATGTATGTCTTGATTTAGTGGATTTCTAAAAAAATCAAACTTTCGAAAGACCAGATGAAACTGTTTGTTAGTTCAGATTATAAAATGGATAGAATTACCCATCAATGAAGGTCTTTTTCTCCTTATAAGAATGCGCTTTCTGAAAGTAAAATGAACTTTTGCATTTCTAATATCAAAGTATTATAATATATATCCCTCATCTGAACTGAAAGAGATGTATGCCTATGTAGGTCATAGAAAAAAGGCGACAAGAAATAGCAACAGTTATTGTTTTGTATTTATATCAATTTCAAGGGGAAAACAGCGATACTACGACACTCCAATACTGTAATTTACGCCAGCCATGCTCCAATATACTCCAACATACTCTACAATACTCTAAATACTTTTTCGAATATTGGAATATCGCTGTTTCTCCCTAGTTCAATCTGCTCTGTATTTTAAACTATTAAGAAGGATCATTTAAAAAATAAATAAATACTTCAATAGTAGCATCATGTAATCGGGAAAATGGATTTAGAATATACAAATATTGATTTGTTTGTTAGCTGCTAACGAAAAACAACGCGAGAAAAATCGCAGTTTAATATAGCTTTCTCACAAAAGTGTTCATCTTGTATTATGACGCTTTTTCTTTCTTGATGTTTTAATATTGGAGAAAAGTTTAGCTGTGTTGTAGAATTAGATAAGTAAAATCTGATTATTAGTTGTTGTATAGTAGATCTTCTTTTGCAAGTCTATTTAAATTTTACTTTTGTCTGCTCAAGCTCTTGGATCACCCACTCCGCAACTAAAACCTAAAACTAGATAAAACGCTAGTGCTGATGGCTAATTCAGAACAAATAATGTTTCAGACAACTTAGCCATAAGTTACCTGAACGGGACTATACAAGGGGAAAAAGCGAAAAGTCAGTACTCCAGTATATTCCGCGTACTCCCTTGATGAATTGTTAGTATCGTTGAGATCTTCCTCAGTGTTTTCAACTCCACCAATGACCAGTATTACGATACACCAGCTGCATTATTCATCAAGGGAGTACGCGGAGTATACTGGAGTACTGACTTTTCGCTTTTTTTCTCCTTGGGCTATTTCATGGCCGATCATACTGCGGTATGAACATAATATCTGATAGCTGCATGCCGAACAGGCACCCTCTTAACCATGATAACCCAGGTCGAGCTATCAAAATACAAGATCTCATAAGAATCGTACGTATGATGATATGTAATCTGATGAAACCGAATGAAAATCTTGCATAAAGTCACACTCCCTGAGTTCTTACGATTCTTGCGCTTTAATATATTAACAAAATATTTCACTAAAACGTATATCTTTCCGAAATATCACTTAAAATTTGTGCTGGCAGAATACCGTGCTCACAAGACCTTTAAAAAAAAACTAGTATGGCTTGATATATAATTTCGGGGGCCCTGGCTTATTTTCTCAGATTTCCGACAATATTTCCGTCATATTACAAGATCTAGCGTCAGATTTTTCTAACCTGGGGATGCGAAGATTTTTGACGGATTTATCATCCTCGAGCTGGGATACGGATGATAATAACAGTAACAATATGGTACTGGAGTGTTTGTATTGATATTATTACATTCCTTTTCTGCACTCAGTTTAAAGATACAGTTTCAGGCTAAAGCGAACAATTATCATTAGTAGTAAATGCTGCATACATGGGGCAACGATATTCATATTCATGCGATTAAGAGATAGTCCATGGTTGAGTCAAGGATTTTTTATATAATAGCTACACAAAAATTTTGACCTACCGTTTTAAGTATCAAAGATTAAAAAGCGTGTAAAGAAACTTATCTCAGACAGATAAAATCAGTAAAAAAGCGTTTTTACGCGTGAGAAAACACAGATTTTCACTCGTAAAAATACGTTAAAATATCGTGTAACACTTGTAGAGAAGAACCGACTTTCAATGTTCGCATACCGACAGATGAGTTGTCTCTTAAAATAAAGCTCTTTTTTACAACGTTAAAATTCACAACTTGGCGCGTTATTTACTAATAAAAGTATCCGGTTTTCACGACGTAGAAACGACGTAAGATAGGGCTTGTCTATCTAGGATGAATCCCAAGTTTTAACCTTTTGCGACTATTATTCGAAGAGCGCTAAACAAAACTTTGAAAGTTTTTGGATGGAGTTTCGGACGAATTTGTTATCACATTTTACATGTCTTTTTTCGTATTTTTATGCAGAACCTTGTAGAGTTGAGGGCCACGGAAAATTTCTTGCAAACTTAATTGCGCGCAAAGAATTACACAAAGTATAGATGAATAAGTAGTAAAAAACATGTGGGCAGCGAAAATTATTTCTTGTGACTAGGATACTCGAGGCAGTCATGGGCCGTATGATAATCATTCTCCATTACGCTACATCGTACCACTCTGCTAAACTTATCAACTAAGCCTCCAATGACCATATTTCATTACTAATGCATTCATACGCATAACCACAAGTATCAGCGCCTCACTGCCGCCAAACACCATTCGCTCCGCGCAAACATTATTTTATAATTCTGCACATCTCTTACAACAACATCCAAGAATGAAATTGAAGTCACACTATTGTATTTTCAGTATCAACGCTGAAAAGAACTGTATCAATTGCATTACAACTTTCAGGCAATCTGGGCAAATCGCAGCGACACTGCTGACGAGGTTTTTAGGCGACTGTGTCAGAAAATTATAGTATTTGTCAGTCACGTCTGTGAGGAAAGATGAGACGTTCGAATTTCTACTCATAAGTATTTGAACACTCCTTCGGATCATATTTCAAAAAAAAAAGAAAACAGATTTGCGAACATTTGGATTTTCTCTTGATTCTTTTAATTTTTCGAATTTTAAATAGAAAGCAAACGCATGTGATGATGTGCATATTCAAAACAGTTCTAAAAAACCAAAATATTTTTAACAAGTTCATAGATATCCCAGAGCATTGAAAAGACTTAAAAGCTCGAAAATGCAGCAAAATCCCCAAATCCGCTTTTCTCGTTGATCGAAGCATATTATCTAGTAAGCTCGCTGATTTTTACATAATGCTAACTATGGAAAACAAATGTAGTTTATGGATGCTTCGAATAAGAGCGAGATAACGTCCATAGTGGCTAAAGTTATTTCAACGGTTTTGAACACGTTGGAGTTTTAAATTGCAAAACTTCGCTTTTTCCTCTTTGTGTAGGTATCTTCAAAAGAGTTTTGAAAATGATATATCATTTGTTTATTCAAAAATATGTCACATAATTTTATTCTTATATGATCAACGGCGAACAAATAGATTTTGCGATTTTATTAGCTCTAATAATTCCTAATGAACTCTGGTGACTTCTCGGACATCACTATAAAGCGTGAAAAATTATTGAAAATCGTCAGAATATTTGTGGTGACATTCGATGACTTCAGACGAATTTCTGTTGACAGGAGTCAGTTTTCTTTCATTGAGTTCAGTATGCAGCTTAATCTTATCTAAGAAAAGACAGGAGTGAATACAAGCCAGTAGTATTGTATCATGTTTATCATCACAAAAACCAGTTGTCAATATATGGCCAGCGGTCGGTCGACGTCAAGGAGGGAAGCTAATTCCAATGATTGTCGTTGATTGGTATGCTTTTTCACTAGTACTCGATGATGGGTTCAAATATTTTTTGAACATATGCATAATTTTCATCAGTAAATATTGTGTTAATCATCTTTTCATAGTTGCCAAACGGATAACAGACTTTTTGGTAACCGTGATTGTCAATGGTTGCCCTCATTCTTTTTTAACCATGATATAATGAAGTTAGGCTGTATTTAATACACCTTACTGTTGACATTATTTAACAGTGTGAGAATCATGTTTTATCTGTGAGCTTACCTTTGATTGTCAATGATTGCTTTACATGAACCCAGCTTTTTCCCTGTTAGGTGACCCCAAACCTAGCCCATACTTGGTTACACCACTGATGTTGACTGTGTTTTAGCAGTACGTGGATTTCCTTCAATCCAGCCGAGAAAGTCGTAATGCAATTGATACAGTTCTTTTCAGCGTTAATACTGAAAATACAATAGTGTGAATTCAATTTCATTCGTGGGTGTTGTTGTAAGAGATGTGCAGAATTATAAAATAACGTTTGCGGCGAGCGAATAGTGTTAGGCGGCAGTGAGGTGCTGATACTTATGGTTATGCGTATGAATGCATTAGTAATGAAATATGGCCATTGGAGGCTTAGCTGATAAGTTTAGCAGAGTGGTGCGATGTAGCGTAATGGGGAATGATTAACATACGGCCCATGACTGCCTCGAATATCCTAGTCACACGAAATAATTTTCGCTACCCACATGTTTTTTACTACTTTTTCATCCATACTTTGTGTAATTCTTTGCGCGCAATTAAGTTTGCAAGAAATTTTTCGTGGCCCTCAACTCTACAAAGTTCTGCATAAAAATACGAAAAAAGACATGTAAAATGTAATAACAAATTCGTCTGAAACTCCATCCAAAAACTTTCAAAGTTTCGTTTCGCGCTCTTCCAATAATAGTCGTAAGAGGTTGAAAATTGGGATTCATTCTAGATAGACAAGCCCTATCTTGCGCCGTTTCTACGTGGTGAAAACCGGATACTTTTAATAGTAAATAACGCGCCAAGTTGTGAATTTTAACGTTGTAAAAAAGAGGTTTATTTTAACAGACAACTCATCTGTCGGTATGCGAACATTGAAAGTCGGTTCCTCTCTACAAGTGTTACACGATATTTTAACGTATTTTTACGAGTGAAAATCTCTGTTTTCTCACGCGTAAAAACGCTTTTTTTACTGATTTTACCTGTCTGAGATAAGTTTCTTTACACGCTTTTTTAATATTTTGATATTTAAAATGATAGGTCAAAATTTTTGTGTGACTGTTATATAAAAAATCCTTGACTCAACCATGGACTACCTCTTAATCGCATGAATATGAATATCGGTGCCCCATGTATGCAGCATTTACTACTAATGATAATTGTTCGCTTTAGCCTGAAACTGTACCTTTAAAATGAGTGCAGAAAAAAGAATGTAATAATATCAATACAAACACTCCAGTACCATA